TCCAGAGAGGATCCAGAATGTCTCTCTGGAAGGTGATGTTTTAACCATTTCTCTCCACAGGGACTATGTTGAATCTGTAGATCTGGCAGGTCATGCTCAATTCCTTGCCAGAATTGAAAGGGTTAATAACAATTTATTCTTTCCTATGCAAATACATGACTTAGGAAGAAGTAGGAATGCAAAGCTGGACTTACAGAGTGAGAACAGCTATATTAGCAGAAGTCTGTTAAAGCAGATCGCTAATCCTAAAATGATCAGGTACACTTCCCCACATGACAGGTGGATCCAGAATCTGGATGGCGAATCGGAGAGTCACAATGTGATAGCAAAATGTTTACTATCTATTTCCATCGGAAATAAGACAGTTAAACATTTATTCCTAGTGATAGACGAACCTCACTCTCAGGTTTACGTTGGCAATGATGTCATACATCGCTTTGCCATACACCTTGATCTGATTAATTCCAACTTGTGGACAAGGTTAAAAGGTAATCCTTGTGGATACTTACACGAGGAAAACGCCCTGAAATCAGGACAGATACTCCCATATGCGGTAAGTATCCAAGTTCCTGATGACATAACCATTCCACAGGGGACAAGTAATTTTCTTTTACCCCTACAGGTCAAGGAGGGTCAGAGATTGGAAAACTCTGATGCCCTAATCTGTTTATCCAACAGGATACAACAATTAGGGATGGTGGTAACACATACATCAATGGTAAGTATTGGTAAGAATCCCACCTACATCATGGTCAACAATGTTACACCCAATAGTGTTACTTTACCAAAAGGAACATTATTAGGTCTAGCATTGGATGCTGAGTACTATACATTTGGTTTCCAAAACCAAATTATAGGCCTCATCCCTGAAGAATACTTAACTGAGGACGAAATTGTCGATCAAATATTCCATTCCTCCCCAGAAGGATTATTCACTATCCTATCTGTATATCCCTTCAACGTTGAAGAAGGCTCGTGTAAAATCGAAGAAGCATCTATCACCTTCGATCATCCGCTCAATGAGCAGGAATCACAAGAGTATCACGACCAAAGAGAAAAGGTAAGTCAACACCGAACTGACCTAACTTCTAGGCTTGAAGAAGCTTATGAGATAGGCCAGCCTGAAATCTTTCCAGGATTTCAGGAAAGGCTAGAAGAGCAAATATCTTTAGCTGACGGTTGCTCCAACGATGCTGAGCGGCAACAGCTAAAGGAAATCCTTTTGGAATTCCAAGATATTTTTGCCAAAGATTCCTACGACTGTGGGTTAACTAACCTCCACGTAGCCAGAATACAAACTGATCCAAATTTACCACCTGTATTTATCAAACAATATAGACTCCCATTAGCGTCATATGATGGTCTACAAGACATCATTCAGAATTTAAAGGAAAGGGGCATTATACGTCCAGTGCACAGTTCGTATAATAATCCGATCTTGGGGATTCTGAAACCTAATGGACAATGGCGTTTATGCGCTGACTTACGACAGCTAAATAAACGCGTCTATATGTCTGGTTGGCCAACGCCATACATAGACCAATGTTTGGTACAAATGCAGGGATCCAAAATATTCACTGCCATTGACTGTGCGCAGGGATATTGGACTGTACCAGTCCATAATGAAGACCAATACAAATTGGCCTTCACATTTGGAAAGCAGCAGTATACCTGGACCCGTATGCCTTTCGGTTATATAAACTCTGGTCATGAATTCGCTGTGTTCATGCATAAAGCTATGCCTGACGCACTCGAGAGAGGAACGTTATCATATGTCGACGATGTCTTGCTGAAAAGCACTTCCTTTGATAAGCATATCTTAGAGATTAGACATGTTCTCACTCAGTTAAGAGAGGCAGGAATAAAACTGTCTTTACAAAAGGCACAATGGTGTCGCACCCATGTCAATTTCCTCGGACATGAGGTAACTTCTGAAGGATTAAATCCCCAGAGGAAGAAGGTTGAAGCCGTACTAAAGGCTAAAACACCTTCAAACATCAGGGAATTAAGATCGTTCCTTGGTATGACTAATTACTCCCGTAAGTTTATAGATAACTATGCAGAAATAACTAAACCACTCTTACACCTGCTTAAAAAGGAAACTACCTGGAACTGGGGGGAGCCTCAGGACCAAGCGGTAAGTGAACTGAGGAGGAAGCTTACTCAGGCACCCTGTTTAGCATACCCAGAGGGGGGTAAACCTTTCTATCTGGAGACAGGTTATACCAATTTAAGCATCAGTGCTGTTCTGTATCAGAAGCAGGACAGTTTAAACAAAGTTATTGCATATGCTAGCAAGACTTTGTCACCTGTTGAAGTTAAATTCAACACGTGTGAGAAGGCGTTATTGTCGACTGTCTGGGCACTACAAAATTTTCGTAGCTATATCCAAGGTGAGAAAATAATTGTAGAAACAGCTCACCAACCTCTACAGTATCTGCAGAGTGAAAGAATTAGAGACGGTAATCTCTCTAACAGTCGGATTACTGCATGGACTCTATCCTTACAGGGATGGCCGTTAGAAGTCCGTTATAAACATAATAAGAGAAGCCCAGTTGCCCAAGGTTTAGCAGAATTACATGACTGTACTGCTCCATCTCTGGATGATAATGACACCGGAGATGACTTCCTAGAAGAGCAATTGCTATCTCCTTATAAAGTTTATGACGAGGAATACTGTCGACCACTACCGTGGGTATACATTGATGGTTGTTCATATCACCACGTAGTTGGTACTGAACGGAAGTTAGTTGCAGGTATCGGAATTGCCTGGACAGGTGATTATCCTAATGTATCTATAGGATACAATATTGGTCCCAAAAGCAGTCAGATAGCCGAACTCTGTGCAGTATATAAGACCATTCAAATGGCAATAGAATATGGTATCAAAGAATTTGTTATTATAACAGATTCCAACTATGTTCGCAACAGTTTCGTCGAATATCTGCCTAGCTGGAAACGTAACCAAATGCTGAAAAGCAATAACAAACCTGTTAAACATGGGAAATTGTTTTGTAAAATTGATGAACTGGTTAAGGAAAATGGTTTAACCATATATTGGAAGAAAACCAAAGGCCATTCTAAAATAGAAGGTATTGACAAGGATGGTAATGACTTAGCCGATTCACTGGCAAAACAAGCTGCCATCGATGGTGAAATCCTAAACATTGATGATCTTATGGGTTCAATTCATGTTGAAGCCATAACTAGACGACAGGCTAGAGATAATGCCGACTTAAATGTTGTGCAATGGAGTCAAGAAGCTCCTAGTGAGGACCTGATTACTAGTCAAAAGAATGATCCTGTAATAGGCATATTCTATAGACATATAGAAGACCCTACTGCCAATCCCATCACAGATGTGGATTGCAAAGATAATGAAGATTTACGAATCTTGATGAGATATAAAGTCCAATTTAGTATCATGGATGGGTTACTGGTCAGAACTTCTAAACATGGTATACAACAATGGGTAGTCCCAACTGTATACAGAGGGTTAATGCTCCAACACGCACATGATGCACCTACATCTGGGCATCGTGGTGATAAGATCACATATGAGATATTGCGTGATTATGCATATTGGCCACACATGTTAAGGGATGTTAAGACATACTGTCAGGGATGCTTGATTTGTCCGCAATATCAACCCCATGGTCCAACCCATCGTGCACCACTTCAGAAGAGGGGGGTGTCATTACCCTGGTCTGATATTCAAATTGACTTTATAGGTCCTGTAACAAGATCTTCAAGAGGTAACAAATACATGTTAACCGTTACATGTATGTACACAAAGTGGATAGAATGTTTGCCTTGTAAAGAGAACACGAGTACCGTGTGCGCCACTTTGTTGATTAACCATGTCTTTTCCAGGTTCGGTCTGCCTCAGAGAATTGAGTCAGACAGAGGTAGTCATTTTACCAGCGAAGTAATGGCTAAGATGTGGAACATTCTAGGTGTTAAACGAAAGCTACATATTGCATACCGCGCTGCGTCTAGCGGGGGGGTAGAGCGATATAACCAGTCTATCGTTAATATTCTGAAGAAGTATGTTAAGGAGTCTGGTAAAGACTGGGACATTAAATTGCCCCTAGTTTTAATGGCGATTAGAGCCACACCTAGCACTGCTACCAAATTGTCACCTTTTGAATTGATGACAGGAAGAAAGATGGTTTTACCACAGCATTTACTATATCGTACTTCGGATCATAACTTGATCAATGCTGCCACTACGCATCAGTATATCGAAGATTTGCGCAAGCATTTACAGCATGCGTTTGCTTTTGCCCAAAAGAATCTAGAAAAAGCAGCGACAGGGGTTAAGACCTATTACGATCTAAAAACCACGAAAAAGGAATATGAGATAACAGATCAAGTCTATCTGTATAACTTTGCGCGAAATCAAGTTAAGGAAAATAAATTTTTACCTTCTTGGAAAGGGCCATATGTCATTATTGACAAAATTTCCCCAGTAGCGTATAAGATAAAAATTCCTAAGGATGGTGATTTTATTGAAAAGTGGGTTCACATTAACCAGTTGCGTGCTTGTCATCCTAAATCTCAATTAAGGATTATAGGTGTGGATTCGGATGCAGAAGGGTGAACGACTAACCTGGATGAATGCTTGATTCACGTGGTATAGTATGATGTGAAATGTTGTGATGTGCCATGATCTCATGTACGTTCATGTCATTAACCATTTCCTTGCCATCCAATAACTACATTTTATAAGCAGGTTACTAGCTTGTTTAACTGCTATAGGCAAATTGCTGAAGAGTCAGTAATAAATGTAGTGAGGGATGAAGTTATAAAAATAGAATTAGACAGAATACATATGTTGATGAATCGTAATAATGTGTTGTCCTAGGCCAAGTGATGTCACACTGTTATAAGTTTGTATGCTTAACAACCTTGAATCATTAGTAGATAAGCCTGAAACGAGTTCCTGATCCGTGACTTTCGAAAGATGTCCAAGAAGGATGTGGCGTGTTTCTGGATCGTACTGCTCCTGTGCCAAGAGCTACGGACCGACCCGATCGCAGAGATGGGACCATCCTCCGGCATCTTGATTCAAGAAACACCAGGGTTCATCTTAACGGAGAAGAGGATCCTGACCCGACGTGTGTTCGTCAGCTTGGACCCCAAGATTTCCATCGAGAAGGCATACAACATTTCATCGATGCAGCTTCCTGAGTTACAGACTTGGTACCAGATGCACCTCCAAAGAGCACAGAACCGTGTGCGAAACATCTTGGAGCAAGCCCGGAAACCATTTGTATCCAGTTTTATTCCGATGAGCAACCGACCCAAAAGGTTCCTCACCGCTATAATTGTTGCATTACTTTGTGCCACTGTCGGTGCAGTTGTCGCAACTGGAATGTCTGCAGCCAACTCTATTACTGTCCAAAAGCTGGATATGGAAATCTATGCGCTAAAGCAACACATTAACGATATTCATCAGGTGATACAACAGCAAAGAACACTTCTCCAAGACGTGTTAACTATTGTGGAAGACACAGTTGTTACAACAAATTTGCATTCGGAGTTAATTGCCAAATCCACTGAGTTGCACCAAAGTCATGACTTATTTAAGCGTGAACTTCCATTTCTGCATGACCCAATATTGTTCCACACACTTGCTTTTCTTGACGAAGTGCAAACTGGAATGATCGAATTGGCAGGGGGACGCATACCTCTGTATTTTGTATCCAAGGATATTGTTCATGCGATGCTTGCCAAGGTGGATGGAGAGACAATTGAGCCTATGCAATTAAATCTGGCCTTTGAGATGGGGAGCGCTATACCTCTCTTAATTGATCCGGAACGTATGGAGATTTGCTTTTTATTGACCATACCATATGTAACTCCCAAAAACATTTTTCAAATGAAAATAATGTACTATGTAATAATGATATTATGGTTGATTGTACTAATTGTAAAGTTCAAAACTCTTACAGGTACAAATATATACAAAAATGTTAATTCCACGCACGGGCCTATGTTAGAAATGATGTGATTGCACAATATGTCTGATAACTTCTATAGTGCTTATTCATAAGCTAAATTAATTTTGGCTATGAAATGCACTAAAGGGGGGTTATGTCAGAGTATTTATGTCGGCAGACATTTTGTGCTATGATAGAAACTAAAAGTGTATATTCTGAGTCACTCTGAACAGACCAGACTCCATTTTGTTATTTCAAGTTAACAAAAAGACACTATATTTCTATCTGCAAGCTAACCACTTTCCCAGAGCTGAGGAATGCATAGTATATACAAGCCAAGTGATAAGGAAGGGGGTTGGACAGACTGTCTAATGCTAATGGAATATAATCAAATCTAAACCCAGACAATTGTGACAGAGAAGATTAAATAATTTAATATTTAACTGTCTATATATATAAGGTACCATTGTATGGAAAAGGGTAAACTTAGTTCATGATCTGTCATATCAGAAATTATTGCAGGAATTGCAGACGCTAAGTCTGGACAAAATTTAAGAAATCCTTTGAAATTTTAAATTATGGCACTATAAAGATAACGCAAAATGACGTCAAAATAGTCACCAGGAAAAGTTAACTCTTTCCTGGATAGGTATGTTTAGTGGGACAAGACTGCCCTCTATAGACCAAATAACTAATTTGCGATCTGGAAGATAACCACACCTCTAGTGCTTCTATTGGGTTATCAACTGATGACGTACAGAGAGTCTGGCCCTTTAAAAGTTAAGACAAAGGGAAGATAGAGATGCGAGGCAGACGGGGAGGTATGCAAGAGATGCAAAGGAGAGGAGAGAGGAATTGGAAGTTTGGGGATTCCAACTCGGATAACATCTGAGACTAACACTCTACTCCTAAAACTCTAACACTTAGAATTTACTGACTTTCTAACCAACACCTCCATGCAGAGAGACTACCAATCGGATGAAATATCTACTCAACTGGTAATTATACTGGTTTCATTTAATTAAATTAAATTAATTAAAATGTATTAATAGCATTATATATGACTGGATAAAGCACGGTCAGATTTCCATATTAAGAAATCTTAGTTAACTAAGAATATATAGTTATAAATATTCCATTCTGCAGGTGGAATTAAGAATAATTATATATTGATGTGATATTATCACGTGTTAGCATACCGCTGTTTTTATCCAGGTGTATTGATTTGCTCTAAATTAAGATAGATATCTTTTAGACAAATTAAAAATCTGCTTATATAATGTGGTAAATTCTCTTATTGGATGATTTTAAGAAAATGACTAGTGAACTGGTTTAAATGTTATTTTATTTAAAAATTACATAAGAATAGATCTTAACTACCTAGGAGATCTAGCCAGCATTGAAAGGGTTATTCTAACTGTATGCTAAACTTTACGACCTTACGCTGCACTCTGAGGAATTCTGTTCTTCGCTGTGAAAAGTTTCACTTAAGTCTGTGTTAAGGATACCTCATAAATCGTCAAAGTCTTGACAGATAATGCCGTTTAACCATTGAAACGTAATACCCATTTCTTTGTATTGCATATCATTTATACTGAATATTCATTGATTATTGTCATGCATGTTACATAATATTATTTGTTAATTATTGGTTATCATAAATAAAATCTATTTTATACATTGTGATTATTTATATGAAATACTTTTCACTTAACACGATAAACGTTCTTTGGGATCTGAGAATTGAATTAGTGGGCAATTCTCACTGTTACTATTATTATCCCATAAATATCCCCACAGTATATCGATTTTGAGCTGTGCCACTTTGCATAATTTTTTTATAATTTTATCTGGACAAAAGTTTTAACAATGGTGTACATTGTATTTTTTGTATTTTGTCATTCTTTCTTTTATTGAGGCAATGATAGGAAGGATAGAGAAAAAAGAGGGAGTAATAGCAAATAACCACATTACAAAATCACAATAATTTGCATGATATATACTCCTATGCATGACAGCCTCATTTTATATTAAGATAAACAAATATAAACTTATAATATGGTAAATTAACCAGCTTATTAATGCAGGAGATAAACTTGAAATTAATATGAGCAGGGAACTGGACTGCTGAAAGGTGATAAAGAATATGCAACAATCTGTACATGCCGGCTCAGCTTGGCATAAACCCCTACACCCGATACAACTAGTGTCATAGCAGGAGAGCAGCATATTTAACATTCTGAAGGACACAATGGAGGCGTATAAGAACATTTATATAGATGCTAGGTATGTACCAGTATAAAAGAAACAGACAGGTTGTTTGTTGACCCATCCACACTAAGGGCTAATAAGAGAAGCATATTATAGGGTGAGACACCATGCATCGCTCTGCTTGCCTGCAATTGCCCAAGCTAGCAATATGAGACCCATAAAGGTACAGAGTCACAGTCTTCCAGAACTGTCCTCTGTGCTGGCCCCAGGCCTCAGGAAGGGCCCAAGGGCTTATTCCACTGATCCGGTTACTCTGGGCACCATGATCAACATCCCGAGCAGATCAGGGCACAGCTTCTCTCCGACTATACTTTTTCCTGAGGTGTGGGTTGTGCGCCATGGGTGGTCCTCTCAGGGCCATCAGCCTAGGAGTGCTGCTAAAAGCATTGGACAGCCCGAGACTCAGACCTGCATCAGAGAGTCGTGGTTTCTTTTCCCACTTCTTCAGGTGGACTGGTTCGGTTGCGGTGCGGCGATAAGTAGCAGACGTTTGCTGGCCATTGGCAGGTGAGTTCTGGGATAAACTTTTTCTCCATCTTGTCCCCACTACCTTGCGCTCTTCGTTGTATAACTTAAGCCAGAAATTAGCGAATATCCTATCAAGCCGCTCCAGGCTCTTTTCCAGCAGGCCTCGTGTGGTTGCGGTATGTTGGGTGTTGGTATGGACAGTGTTGCAGGCCCCTCACTGTGGAGTCACTAACAGGTTTACAGACCCTCCTGCAGCGGGATGCTAGAGCCAGGGAGTTGGTGCCGGGATATCCACCACCAGTGCGGGGAGGAGGAAACAGCAGGAATACTAGCGGAAAGATTGGTCGCCTCTCCCTCACCCGCACGCACAGGTAGGCCGCAAAGACACTCAGAGCGTAGGCCAAAAAAACTTCAAAAGCTAGCTCAGCAGTACGTAGGTAACCTCCAGTACCTAAAATGTTAGTTTGATATCCCCGCCCCCTGTATTTTTTGTATTTTTATAATGTATCAAATAAAAAGGAAAACAATTGAAATCCTGAACAGCAGTTTTTTGTTTGTTTTTTATAGTTGCTCATACAGTTGCTTTTTATAGAGCTTGTTTTTTCATACACAGACATTTCTATATATATAAAGTGCTATTTAATATATATATTTTTATATCTAAGGTGTTATTGAATATATTTTTTAACAAAAAGAAACATTTTAAAAATAATATTTAACTTATACTACATAATATTTTAATATGTTTTAGGTATACATGAAATAAGTTTTGTTATAAGCGGTGTAATTTTCGTCATGTTCCGTTTTTTTGTTACTGAGATTTACAATATTGAGTAAGGCACCTTAATATGGAAAGCCTCATTGGAATATGAGTAAAATACAGAGCATTTGCGTATAATGTTTCATTTTATGTGTTTTACACCTTTGAATTAGAAGAAGAGAGAAGGCAAGACTTATATATGGAGTAATGGAAGTGACATATCACTTTCTCTAAATAATATTTTCAAGAATGGAGACTGAACAGAGCAAAGGAAACTAAGCTTCTTGGCCACAGTCACCCAGGATAGGTTAAGCAAAATCATGGTGGGGACCCCTTAAGTGACTGCTGGCCAGGAATGGAAAACACAGATTGAAAAAGCCCTACAGGGTGAAACGCATTTTGGTCGGACTACATGGACAGAATATATTTGTATTTTATTACTGCATATGAGTTTTTGTAATAATAAAATATCCATCAAATATTTTGTTGGTCTGTACAAACCAACTTTTATATTCCTGAAAAGGGTATTGTGACGAGACTAATCTCGCCCATGTGCATTGGCGGAGCCCGGTTGCCCCTCTGCTGCGTTTAGACTATGGCCCCATGTTGAAACGCTTGATTTTCCCCTGAAAAGACAAGAAAGCCGGGTCATTCGGTGCTTGCCCTGTTTGAGCGGTGATACCCCAGATAGCTATGCCATGGAGCCCATTCGTATAATGAAAGACTATGGGAAAGACTTTGGCTCCATGGCAATTGAACTGTATGTGTGTGCTCTGAGCGCCATTCAGTAATAATGTGCGCTCAGATCTGAGCTATCTGGGGATATGTTGAATGTACCTGTTTTATGCAATGGCTGCACAGTTATATATTTTATGTATTTTATTGTCTTTTGCTGCCATGTGTTCAATGGAGTTTTGCCTCTGTCCTTGGAGATAATTGGATTACTTCCCAATTATCTCCAGGATAGAAGACTCTGTGGAACTGGTTTTGGGCAGAAAAGCCATGCTTTATTTGGTCACAAAGGACTACGATCTATCTTTTGAACCACTGGACCATTTGGATGATTTGGAGTATGCTGATTCTGAAAATTTAAGTTTTATGTGAATGTGATGCATA